AAAAGCTTCAGAGCTCACTCAGATAGGTAGAATGGTAACAGCAATCACCATAACCCTACACCTTAAACCCTAAACCCTAAACCCTAAACCCTAAACCCTAAACCCTAAACCCTAAACCCTAACAAGAGGCAGAAGTTTCCAGAGCTTCCGGGCCACCCCATTGGAAGCCGCCGGCTGCTCGACGAGCAGCTCCAGGAGCCCGAGAGCCGCATCCGTGGAAGCCACACAGGCCGAGACCACCTCTGCAGGGCTTTTAGGGTTTAGGGTTTAGGGTTTTGGGTTTTGGGGCTTAGGGGTTTTGGGTTTAAGGTTTAGGGTTTAAGGTTTTAGGGTTTAGGGTTTAGGGCTCTCTGCAGCCAGAGACTCCAAAACCCATTAAATGAGGAATAGACTTTAAATTTAAACCCTAATATGATTGAAGGGATCTCTTGGGGCTTCAGGGCTTTATCAATTTTAGGGTTTAGGGCCGATAGGGTTTAGGGCTTCGGAGGTTTTGGGGATAAGAAGCCACAGGCCTGAGGTCACTGAGGGTTGTGTGTCTCGGTCTTCTGTGAAGGTGTTGGGGGGCAACGGAGTTTTTTGGCTACTTAAAGGGATCATGCGACTTAAGTAAGTAGGGTTATAATTAAGGTAACTGCACTTATATTTACTTTATAACCCCAAGTAGGGGACTTTTTACCTTACTTACTAAGTCCCATGATCCTCCCAGTACCTGCCATCTTAACCCTAAACCCTAAACCCTAAACCCTAAACCCTAAACCCTTACTTACTAAGTCCCATGATCCTCCAAGTAGCTGAGGCGTCGGGCTTGAGGCTGCCAAATGCAGCAAAGAACAGTTGGAGGCCCTGAACCCTAAACCCTAAACCCTAAAAGTTGGAGGATTCTAATTTTCCAGTCTTCGGGTCCGGAAAGTGGTGGCTCGGTGCGGTTTGCAAGTCGGGCTTTGGAGTCTCTTCTTCAGCAAAGCTTGACATCTTTCCGGTTCATGAAGACTTAAAGGATCATGGGACTGAGTAAGTAGGATTACAATGAAGGTAACCGTACTTATAACCCCAATTAAGGGACTTGTAACCTTACTTACTAAGTCCCATGATCCTCCAAGAAAGCCCACCTCGCGGAGCTCCTGCTCTTTCCACTGCTTCTGCGGCTCATTCACGATCAAGCGCAGGGTCAGCTGCGGCAGCCGTACTGCCATGGAGACGGCCGTGTTAGAGGGAACGGGCAGCCTGGGCCACCAGCGTTCGATAATCTCGGGGCTGGCTCCTTTGAGGAGCCGCGCAGCCGAAGGGACGTCAGTCGAAACGAGCTTGCTGAGAAGCTCTTCATTGACCAGGCCTTGCAACTTATTGTGACTCAACCGCCCCAGCGCACGCAGTGACACCCGCCGGCGCGCCGCGCTGAGTGGGCAGACCTCAACGGCACCTCCCTGGGGAAGGCCAAGAAGGCTGGTGAGCCTTGCAGGATCTGCCTTCAAGAGTGCGGTCAGAGCGCGCACGCCCACGGCATGAGAACCCGAAGTTGCAAGCTCGGCAAGGCGTTCTGGAGACGCGAGCCAGGCGGCGTGAACAGCCCAGGCACCTCCGCGGCCATCGGACATTGCTGGTTCCCAAAGCTCCTTCAACAGCTCTTCCAGAGCTTCGCTGCTTAAAGCCCGGAGGTGCCGCACTGCCTCCTTGTCGAACGCACCCTGCTGGGCAAGATCAACCAAAGCCTGCATCGACATGGGACCTGTCCCTGCATCCCGAGCAACACGTCCACTCCAGCTCCGGAATGATCTGAGTGACTGTGGGCCACGGCCTTTCCCAGGGCTCGTTGTAATTGACATTGTGATTCTATGATAAATCGGATTCAGTGGTGCATACAACGGCTTCCTGCTTATGAAGGAGAACTGTTGAATCGTCCCCTCCTGGAATTTAAGCTACTTGTCTTATTCAAGGGGCAGTGGTCTCTCTGGGTACACTTCTTGGCCATGCTAGGCGAATCCTGCGGTACCACGCTGCAGTTTGATCAAGCCAGCCCTGTTCAGCTCAGTTCTAGTTTCCGGCAGGCTCGTTGGGGCATCGTCGGGAAACTGAAAGGAACATGAACATATGTTGTCTTCCACAGCTAGAGCCACACGTCGTCGCCTTATGAACAACAAGGAGCGAAAGTTGGCGAATGCAACTAACGTAAAACACGTCGTCATACGTCGTCCAAAGCAAAAACCGACGCGGAACGGCATGCGTTTGAATCATGTGCGGCGCAGGCATGCCGAAGGCTCCACACTGTTTCCCCGTCTTTTCTCGTACAAGACAGCTCCTACACTTCCACGTCACAGCTCGTATGTAAGAAATGCCTGGAGCCTTGCAGGAGAGTCTCCGAAGGCCTCGGCGTGGTTCAGGCGATGCATGAGTACATCAACTACGCCATCCCGAGCAGAAAACGCGTGCCCTCACTCAAGGTTTCGATGATCTTGTCTACTACGAATACGGTTAAGGTTTGTGCTGCCTCACCAAATAACTATACTTTACCCCCAAATAACCAAGCTTTTGATGGCATTTGCTAGATCCCCCAAATTTTCCGACCCCCTGACCACCTTTCGGCCGGCAGCCTCTGATGCTCGCAGCGACTGCTGCAGCGCTGCAGCTGGAAAGAAGGGCAAAAGATGGCGAGGTCCTGCGACGCATGGATGTTTTGGGGCTTTTGGGCTGCTGACTCTGGTTTCAGGCTCCCGGTTTCGGTGGGGTTCGGGTCGCTTGTGAGGGTTTTCGGGGGCTGCATGCTAAGAACGGAAAACATTGGGGTTTGTGGTCTAGTTGGTATGGTTTGGGGGCGGCCGGATGTTCCGGCATTCCTCACACTCAAAGCCTGGACTCTACTGCCGTTCTACACTCTGAAATCCTGAAACCTGCAAGACGACCGCCTAAGCCCGAAGCCTTAAACCCCAAACTCTTCGGTTTAGGGGCTTCAGGCCGAAAAGGGTTGTATTTACGTGTACGTGTTTTTATGTGTGTGCATGTGTATGTATGAGCATGTGTGTATGTTTGTATTTATGCTTGTATGCTCGTGTGCCTCTATATTTGTGTGTATGTATGTGTGTACATGTGTATGTGTATGTGTATGTGCATGTGCATGTGTACGTGTGTGTCTGAGTGTGTCTGTATGTGTCTGTATGCACATGTATGTGTACTTAGGTGTATGTATTTGTATGTATTTGTATACATGTGTATATGTATGTATGTATCTGTATGTGTACAACTATGTCGACACATGTATGTATGCATGTATGTATGTATGTATGTATGTACGTATGTATGTATGTATGAGCTTATGCGCATGTATATGTATGCATTTATGTTTATGTGTATGTCTACGTCTTTGTATCGTGTATGTATATGCACATGTATATGCATCAGCATATGTGCATGTATGTGCAAATGTATTCGCATATGTATGCGTGTACGCAGATACATGTGTGTATGTACATGTATACGTAGTTGTATATACAAACATGATGTGTATGTGCACGTACGTGTATTTATGTGCATGTATGCAGTCATGCAGTCATGCATGCGTATGTATGGGTATTTGTGTATGCTCGTTCGGTAATATGCTTGTATGCTCGTGTGCTTGTATGTTTGTACCCATGTGTATGTATATGTTTGTAGATGTACGTGTTTGTCTGTATATGTATTTGTTAATGTATTTGTAGATGCATATGTGTCTGCATGCATCTGCAAGCATGTGTATGCATATGCAAAAACATCTGTAGGCAAATGCATGTAACTGTATGCATGTAACTGTATGCATGTAACTGTATGTATGCATGTATGTATGTATGCATCTGCATGAGTATGATTGCATATGTGCATGTGTATGTTTGTGTGTATGTGATGTCTATTTATGTTTATGTGCATGCTGATGTGCATGTTCATGTGTCTGTCTGTCTCTAGGTCGATGTCCATGTATATGCATATGTACATGTATGGGCATAGGTATGGGTATAAGAACAGATATATGCATATGTAGATTCATAGGCATAGGTAGGGGTATAGATAGGTACGGAAAAAGTATAGGTATAGATATAGGTACAGGTATACGTATAGGTTGAGGTATTGGTGTAGGTATCTGTATCTGTGTGTGTGTGCATGTACACGTATACGTCTCTTTTGTTTATGTAGCTCTACATGAACCGCAAAACCTGAGGCAAAAAAAATATGTGTATATATATATACATAGATAACACAACTTTCTCTGGAATCGCTCTGATATAGGACTCCAAGATGGAGATCGCAGAGGTTTGAAAATCCCAAGTGCCAAGCTCTGAAGTCCAAAGCCCCTTACCCGCGATGGCTCCGCGAGAGCTGCCGAAAAGAAGGGACAGCAGGCCGCCAAGCGGTCCAAAGCTAGGCGCAGAGCCGTGTTGCAGACAGGATTTGTTGAAGTTTACCAGCTTAGAGAAGTTCTCCATGCAGGTTTTTCGAGCATGCGTGGTTTATGGAGGGTAATTGAAACACATCAGCCCTAGCCGCCCATCCTCACTTGAATAGAAACCCGCAGCCCCAAATATGAAACAAGGCTACAACAAATCCTCAGACCCTTACACCCGAAAACACCATATCCCAAACCACCAAGTCAGCCAAACTAAAACGGAACAGCAACGCCAGTGATGCTTCCTTGCAAAATCGGGGCCTCACATAGCGCGTAAACAACAGGCTTCTTATGATAAGGACCTTGAATAAGGGACATTCTTACCAAACGTTCATTTACAGAACAGCACCACGCAACAACCCTAATACCTAGTACTAACGTAAACTGAAATGCTCCATCTGCAGAGGGACTAGCAATGCGCGCACATGTATAGTTTTTCTGTTACACACCCCCGAATTCTCCAAGCCTTCCCTCTGTTGCTGAGTTATGTAACGAACATGAAACTGCGGTGGAAACCAACATGTTTAGAATTCTGCGTCGGGAGACCGAGCGCGCAGCGCGCCGAGCGACGAGGGTCGCAGGGGGCCCGGAAAAAAACGCCATCCGAAGTGCAAAGTTCTGTGGGCGCAGGGCTCTGTATTGTGACTAATGACTGAGACCTACACAGAAAAAGGTCAAATAGAAGGCTTACAAGCGTACACGGTTCAGGTGTGGTTTTGGGCCTCGTGTTTGACCGCTCTTTTGACTTCGTTAAGCGAACTTACTTTTTGAATCGAGACATCCTTCAAGCAAAGTTTGTTGCAAGTGCTATTTACGGCCCAAACCTAGCAGATTCGCTGGGTGGACTTGGACACGCACGAATTCGGAAAGGTAACCTCCAACACACCGCGTTTATGGTTTAGCGTTGCAAATGAACGACCCGGCTGCAGTCTGTACAAGAGCACAAAGGCTGCGCTCACGTTGACATGCGCACATCGCGCTTAAAAAGGGATGAAGGCACAGGTTGGAGGGTAGTCCAGCTGCAACCAGACTGTCCGCCTAGCAGCACGCTTCACTTCAACCCCAGCTAAACTTGAGATGGTGACAAAAACAGTTTTGTTTGATGTGCTGAGAACCCGCAAAAAGAAAATGCGTTGGCATTTTCTGTTCGCAACTAACAATCCACATAAACCCCTCAGATCAACGAACAGGTCTGGTGATGCGCAAGCCACATCCACATGGGTTCGGGAGCAAAAGTAAAGTTGCATCAAACGAAACAAACAACACATGCCTAAACACCAGGAAGTGGCAATAAAAAACTCGTGTGGTTGCAGAACGCGCGACACACAGCCCAATGCTTGGTGACGTTGCCACTTGTTGCCACATGGCTGGTTCTCTGTCTTGCAGCAAAGCTTGAGACTTCCGTCCTCTGCGGAGCTGCTCGGTTTTTCCAGGCCATTCAACCCAATAAAAATTCTGCTGTCCAACGTTATGTGTACTACCTGCGCTGAAACTTTTTGCAGCCACTAGGCACCCAGCATTTTGGATAACAAGCACATAGAACTTGTAAACTTGTCTGAGGAAGTTTCGGGATAAGGAGGACAGCATAATTTTTCACATACGGACAGGTTTCGTTACGCACGTAGTTTCTTGTGAACCCACTTACCTCTCGCAGATCGTCTCGAAGGAGATCCCCGAAACACTCCAAAGAAGGGCGGAAAGCTCAGGATCCTTGAGCTACTTTCTTTACAACCTGCCTTTTGAGGTGGAGCTGATGCTGCAGCTTGCCGACGACAAGAAGGTGCTGAAGCAGCTTGAGGACACCTGCTATAGAATTTCGACGCTCCAGGACTAAGCTCTTCCACGCCTGAGCTTTGCCTACGGCTTTTCAATCGAGTGCCAGCTGCAGTCTTCTCACGCTTGCTCAGAGCACACTTCATCTCACTGACTCGAGGATAAGATCCTGAAATTGCTCTCAGAGTCGAGCGGCCTGGGGCTAAGCATCGCTAGAGGACAGCCACTGCTCATCGACGTGCTCCACTCAACGGAATTATACCGCGGTACAGCACATATACCGCGGTACAGCACAAGGCACTACTACTTCTGTTTCGCGATGCCATCCGAGGCAACGTTCTAGACCACCAGGCCAGATCTCAGACGCTGTGTGGCACATCAGATGCCACATCGCGTCAGGAACCATGCTTCAAAACATCTCCAGCGCCAGAAATTGCTCAAGCCTGCTGAATCATATCATGTAACCCCATTGTAGATTACAACCTTCGGATTTCCCAATGATCCAAGAATCTGGAGATCTCCACAGCAGCTGTGCCCATGGAGTCGTCCCTACTGGCAGGTCTGGAGGTTGCGTTGGGTTCGCCGGTCAACATTACCGTGGCCAACACCTTATTCTGTGGGGTTGTAACCGGCGTTTTTGGCGTGCGTTTGTTGGAAATCCAAATTGCAATTTCCAGCAGCACCACCGCAGGCATGAGAGACTCCAAGAAGGCTGCAGCTTGGATCAAGGCTTTGTGCAGAATGTTGGCGCTTTTAAAGCGGAGCTTATCCTTGGGGCCAGATTTCCAGATGTAAAGCAGGCTCTGATTCTAGACTTTTGGACGTCAATCATCAATGACAAGACTTGAGATTTTGCTAGGTGATACCTGACATCTCCGACTTTTTGTTAATTCCTGTGGCCAACTTGCTTTCTTTTGATTAAAAGCACAAGCACCTCTAGAAACGGTAAACCTTTGGCAAGCTGCTGGCTTTGCGCAGCTTCACTTAAAATCTGCCACCTGCTATTGCCTACATGGCCAGCTTAATGGGATTGGGTGCGCGACATCCATTAGCAGCCCTTCCGTCGCTCTTAGAAAATAGCTCGTTCTCAACAGCCAATGCGCTCTGGGGCTCATACAATGCAGTGGGTTGGAAAAGTCGCCTGTATTCTCACAAATGTTGCCACAAACAAAAACAAAAAGATAGCTAATGCCCGTGCCAAAATATGCATGAAATGCTGGGTGAGCAAACCGAGAAGCTTGAGACACACTTTGACAAAAGAATGGACGTTGCAGCTAAACATCAATGGCCGAATGGAAGTGTGGGATCGACTTCCTGGCTTCTGCAGCGCTTAAACGGTCTACGGTTCGATGCCGTTCGCGGGCCATGCAGCCAGATCACCCGAACTTCCGTTTCACACAATTGGTTTGCACCCCATTGATGACTGTGCCAGGCCTTGGTACAGGAACTGACAACATAGCTTGACGGCTCTTGCCTAATCGCGTTTGCAAGCCCCAGAATTTGATCATGGCACCATGGCATGTTGCTATGAAAACTGATGCTGGCTCCGGGCCCCAAGCTTGGAAATGCGACATTTTCGATTCGAAGTGCTCTCGGAAACCACCTTGACAGGGAAACTCAATTTCTACTGTCGCTGTTGCACTTGGTAAGAACGC